TATTAGCAATCGTATGAAATGAAGAACTTCCAAATTATTTGTATGAGCAGGAACTTATCAATCATCAAGCAAACGGACATTATATATTTCTAAATTAAAGCAATCAAATAATCTGACAACTAATTGGCAGACCAGAGTGCTAAGCAATCGTAAATAGAATAAAGAAGTTCAAAACTACGAGAGAAACTTATCATACATTGTTCATAATTCGAAATTGAAGCCATCTAAGATCTGACAACATATTTGCAGTTTCCTTTAGTAGGCAGTATCCAGAAAGAGATGAATAAATACTTATTTTGACGTTTGATGGAAATATTTTATATTTGAATCATTAGATGTGTCATAACAAAATAGTCATTTAATTTAGAAAAAGAAACACAAATGTCCGCACGTTTGACGTGGCGTCGCAATCATGGTATTTTATCCGCTTCCGCGTTGTGATTTTATATCAAATAACCTTGAAGAAAACAAAGAGGAGAACAAAATTGATTTTGAAAGAAATTCGATATTGTCACAAAGCTTTTTCTTTTCAAAAAGTCTCCTTTTTTGTGAGTAACACACAGGTTAAGTGTAAGAACCAAATCATGCAGTAAGTCCGCTATTTTAGTGAAGAATTTACTCTGAGCAACGGTCTGCCTCCCAGAAAAGACGTTAGCCATATTTATGTATTGTTTATTGTTTTATACTATTATGGTTCACTTTTGTGTCTCTTCTTGTTTTTTATCGTCTACGGTAAGAATATTCCCTTTTGCCCTTTAGTTTGTTAAGAATTATTCTCCTCCGATCCCCTTCCCAGTCCCTCGATTCCTCTTCACTTGCGCGCCTTTCCTTTTTAGGCTAATAAGTCAATCATTAAATTGTTATTAAAGTAATAGTCCAGTAAGTATGCCTTGTGCCCTGTCCAAATTTTATTTGGGATCATACAGGTCTCCGTGCCGGTGTTCCTTTATTGCTGGCCATGTGGTGATTACGGTAATTGAACGCCGTACTTCCTTGTTGATCTTGTTTTCTTAAAGATTTTATAGAAGTCAAAGGACAGCAAAAAATAGCTGAACACAAAATACTGCATTTAGTCTCGCAACATGACAAAGGAGCGCAGCAAGTCTCATTTTGTAGCAAGTCCTGTGATATTGCAGGAAGTATGTGTTGCGCAGCAAAGTCTGAATACTGATGAAGTTGAAGGTTGCGCAGAAAAATAGAGAAAGCAAGAATCCCTACAGAAAGTCAAACACAACAGAATTGAAAATGTTGCATGCTCGGTTTGATTGAGCCTGTTTATGGACGGTACTGAAAAGTGCAAACCACCGTCCACGCCCCCTAGCACCGGCTTAAGCAGAGTTCAACATTTAACATGAACTGGCACAATTTTGAATTTTGAAACATCCGCAGATGTGTTCATATGGCGGTTATCATGGAACCTTCAATGTGACACTAAGTGCCATTCCATGTTAGGCGGCAGATGGTCCCAAAGTATAAAAAGCGTGTGCCCTAAACGAGAAAAGTTCTACTTGTCTGGAAGCTGAACAAATTTGAAAAATACAATACCTAAGCAAGTGTTATACCTCAGGAAATCAAAGAAGCGCAGCAAGTCAAAGAGGTGCAGTAAGTTCAAATATTGCAGCAAGTATAACAATTGCAGCAAGTCCAGGGGATGCAGAAAGTCTAGGATGACGTCTAGTCCAATACTTTAGCAAGTCAAGGTCGTGCAGCAAGTCCAATAGTGCAGCAAATAAAATACTGTAACAAGTCTAAAAGTGCAGCAAGACTAAGGAGCGCAACAAGTCAAAGGGTTGCAGTTGGTCTTAATACTTCATCAAGTCAATACAGTGCAGCAAACCCAGGATTGAATTTATCCGTATGCAAAAAGTATGGTTCGGAATATTAATTACAAATCCTTATTGATACCTAGCTTGACACCATGTTTTTAGTTTTTATGTAAATGTACATGTAAAGTTGCCGGTCTTATTTAAACACACAGCAATTGGGTTTAAATATAATGCAATGATAATTCAAAAACAAACAAGGAAGTAACGTATCATCTGATGCACTTACGAAACAATTTCCTTCACACACAAATACTGTGGTTTAGTACTGTTCATTCTTCCATTTAGTGATATATCTGCAGAGTAGACGGAGGAAATACCAGGTAGATCTGATGACTTCCTGACAGGGTCCAATGTGATAATACTTCTTAGTTCATCTGTTGCTTGTATACTTATTACAGGAGTTGAACTATATAATTTGAAAATATGTTGAAACAATTATTTGATAAAGATTAATCTTTTCCTGAAACAAAAAGGCAATTGCTAAGATAATCATTCCTTTAAATATATAGTTCGAATTTACTTATTTAACAGGTTTCTGTTAAGAAGTTTCAACTGGAACATTCTTAAATACACGTTGAGTAACTATTTTTATCCAAACACACAAGGATGAATTTAGATAATAAATTTTACATGGTTAATTAATCATCTTGAAATAAAGAGCTTAATTTATTTAAATTGTTTGTATTTGTATAACTAGCCTTACCCCGATATTAATGCAACATAAACACGAAAATTGCAAGATAATCTTTTTCCTTGTTGTTCATAGCATGTCACAGTGCTTCCGTCTTTTGGAGATGGAGATATAATTCCATTCTGTAAACGATAAAGTGTTGAGCAAAACTGAATGAATAAATCTCATCAGTATCGAAATTTAAATTAATAAACAATATGATCTATTTTAAAGGAAAAAACGCAAGTATTTTCATAAATAACCAATCTAAATGTGTATAGAGGTAATTGATTGAACAATTTTCTTGTTAATGAATTCATTGTCTTAAAAATTTGAAAGACGCTGATGAGTCGATTCTGACTTAAGAAATTTTGTATACAAGTATTAGAATTTAAAAGAAGTTAAAACGTGATTTGATATGTATAGCATATATGAGGAAATATGCTGAACAAATATAAGAATAATTTAAATGCTCAATCATAAAAAATCATTAAACGATTCCTTAGTAATTCAAATAGGAACATTTGTAGCATGTGAATTGCACATTTTTATACAAGTAGGTACACGTCGGTTGATTATGTGGATTTTCAGACGGGTAAGTCTAAAACAGATGTACACGTTATTCGTTGATATTACAACTAGATTGTGTACCATGGCGTAGTTAATAACGTATATTATGATAATAGTTATTTTCATAAATTTTACAAATACATGATATGCATATCTTTGTAAGTGTATGGACATTACAAAATTTAGCCTGTATTTACCTAAATTTCGGAAATATGAAATCAAGATTAACATTGTAACATAGTATTATAATTTTAATAGATTGGGCAATTTTCCACGACAATTTCACATATTGATAAAAAAATGAAAACCTACATTTTTGATATTTTATGAGTCATTTTTTGAGAAAAAAGTTATTTAAGTTTATAAGTGATTAAGTATGAACATTTAAATGATGATTTTTTGTTATTATTAATACGTTGTACTATTAAGATTAGATCTATGGTATGACAGACCGTCTGTTATGGACAAATTCACTCTACAATTTCTAAACTGCTTATTTTCTTAATTAATTAAACTTATTGATGTGAATTTTAAATCTAAATTTTCTTTCTTTTGTAATCAGAGTCAAAGGAGATACTTTATAAAATCAGATAAACAACTAAAGCATGTACATGCGTTATTGCACGTATTAACCTTTTCAAATGAAACCGGTAATCAAATTCTTGACAAGTGTTTGAATTTCGTATTTTTGATGGACTGTCCTTGTAAACGGAGCTAGATTCCATAGATTGTATATAACACTCTGATATTTTTAGTTTTTCTTATTTCTCTTTTCTTTTCCTGTTAATATAATTATAAACTTCGACATTTTTGCAACGATTATCTTAATTAGTTTTTATGTCTTAAAAGGGGGAATTCTAAAGTAAAATTCAATTTTTGTCATATCTCCATATCTGTTTAGCAACTTTTGCAAATTGCTTTATTAAAGAGACTTTTGGCTAAAGCATACGCTTTTTAAGGTGATTGAATACTTTGCACACATATCTTATGTGGGTTTGTGTATTAACGTGTTCTACATTTTTATATAGGGCAATTACTATTTTGCGATTCGCAGATTGCACATGCTAAAACTATTTCAACCCGTCGAATGCCCACATCAACGTGCCGCGGCTGAATAAGGCCGAAAACCTATTTTAAAATCATCATTTGTTTCGATGATTAGTGGTGATCCGTATGTATTTATAAAGAAAGATGAATATGTAAGATATAAGTAGACTTTGCATATATGTAAAAGCATTGAAGCTATTTTGGAAGATATTTATAGTTGATAATAACAATATCGTGTTGTAAGAGAATGCATAATACAGATAAGACAATTTTATAAGGGAATTTTGAAAGCATCGTGTATAAGTATATATTTTTCGATTCTTCTTCAAGCGATTATTTCTTATCTGTCACATACCTTAATATATCTATTGTTGTCCAATGAAAACAAATGGGTTCGTTTTGCGGCTTATAAGTATCTTTGCTTAATTAATCCGATGAATACACGATAGAACAAAAAATGCATTCTGTTGTTTTTAACATTTAGGACATAATTAACGTTGATATTTGATTAATACTATGTGCACAATATATCAAAAAGTTAGTACTTACAACATTTCCTGTTATGTCACAAATTGCTGAAAATAATGAAGTTAAAATAATTTTTAATCTGAACTACCCAAAATATAATCTGCGAGTTATTGAAGATTTTTAATGAGGTTTGCAATATGTACGCTAGTCTTCTTCTCCTACGACATCTACGAAATAGATAAACTGTTGTGCTTTACCTTTATAGTAATGTGTTCTCTTTCAGAAATGCCTAGAAAATGTTGCCCAATAATTGACTGTCTACTGAAAATATTATGTAAAATCTCAAAAACGTATCTTGAAATAGAGTGCAACTGTTTCATCAATTGTTGCTTTTCGTCCTTTCATATCTTAAAATATCATTATAGCAGAGCTAAAATCTTACGTGTCTCACAATTTTGACCAGAATAGCCGTAGGGACAAGAGCATTTTCCTCCATCAGAGCATACACCTCGTCCATTACAAGAATGGTTTGAACAACCTCCTGAAATTTTATCGCAGTAAGAATAACTTCTTATACATTTTTATTTCAATTTTATTTCAAATCATAAGGCAGATAAGCGAGAGCGTAAATGACATACTTGCTGGACAATTCATTATTCCATCTCTCAGTGTCGGGCATTTATCTGAAAGAAAGATAAAAATATACTGCCAATAGATAGAGAAATTACACATGAGGGACAGTTTTAATTAGATAACACTCATATTGATTCAAATGTACGACAGCAAAAACAAGTTCGAGCTACTAATTGTACCCTAAATCAAACTTTTAAGAACTTTCATATATTCTTACCAACAGTACAGTTGATCCCACTAAAACGATGAAAACATTCACATGTATAAGTTCCGACACCATCAATACATCTTCCATGTCTATTACATGCATCGGCTGGGCAATCGTTTATATCTAGAAAAAGAACGATGTCAAGATTGTTTTGTAGCAGTCCTATAATTTAATGAAATCGTCCTGAAGTTTGGTTCCTACAAAATGCCCAAATATGAATAAAATACCATTGTAAAGAAAAACTAATTAATTTAGTGATGTATATTATAGTTCAATAAAGGGATACGCTTGATGTTTTGATGAACGCTTTGTCGGTATAATTCCATTCTTAGATTGAAATAATTCTCTCCTTGTTTTCGTTAAGATCCTGGTTATTTAACCATTTAATTAAAAGAACACAAACACATACACGCACGCACTCACGCACGCACAAACAACACGCGCCCTCACACGTATACACGAATACACCGCAATATTGTGACATTTCAAAGCTTAACAAATTATTAACTCACTATTTTCGCATTTATCCCCTGTGAATCCCTGATTACAAAAGCATTGACCGTGACCGTAACATATTTGAGTATGACTGTTACCAAAACATGGATCTGGTTTACATGGATCTTTTCCTGAAACGATATTTGTTTTTACTGTATTACTTTATTACCTTAAGTTAACATATTTAATCTATTTAAAAGTAGAGAGATCACAGTTTAATATCAATATTGAATAATTATAAAATTTTGTATATATTATATATTAATAAAAACACTTTTAATATCAATATTGAATAATTATGAAATTTTGTATATATTATATATTAATAAAAACACTTTTGTAGGCACATTTATCATAAGTTGGAGAGAAAAAAGCAGTTATTTTATAATTAAGAAAAAATACTTGTGCCTAAAATGGTCATTTAATAACCAAAATATGAATAGCGGTGCTCATTTTTATATTTCAAATGTTTAACACGGTTTTTATCAACTGGATACAGCTTTTACCAATCATTGGTTTTGGCTGCAAAATGTATTGATTTTAAGTACTGTTACTGTTTTTACAATATGCAATTATCTTTAATTTTATTTTTAAGGAGTTTAATAGACCATTATTATCCACATTTGTTAACACACACATAGGCTCATGCACAAGCACAACAAATTGAAGATGCTTCATGCTGAATAAAGTGTTTTCGATAATAAAAAAAGTAAACTTTATCGTGATTTTTAATAAAAATAATTAAAGTTTGTACTTACTAATACTGCATGTTTTCCCTGATGTTTGAGTTACGCAAAAACATTTAAATCCACCACTTTCTTTATCTTTTTCACAGACAGCTGAATTTTTACATGGTGTTGATATGCATGGATCTTGAAATAAATACAAAGTATATAGATAAATTATAAAATTTCAATTTCACTCATGAAATAAAGTCTATCTGTCAATACTTAAGGATACTTTTGAAATAAGAAAGAATGAAAGGGGTCTAAAATTACATAGAGCCGGCTTGTGAAAATATGTGATTTTATCATCTTTTGAGAAAATGCGTTCCTAACCGGACTTGTCAATGAAAGGGATAGAAAAACATCCATTTTTCCAAAATGTCGGAAAAATATAAATGCTTTTTATGCGAATGTGATGGTTCCTTTAACAAATTCGCTTGTTTACAAACATTATACATTTGAATGAATATGGGAAAATAAAATAAAAATCCTGCTAACTATAATAATTGTTGTTAATATCCATCACACCATTCCATTCCAGAGTTTTCTATGATCGAAATAACAGCAATTTCATAGAACTAAAAATCTCAAAAAGCTATTTTTATCGACTTTAAAGTTATTTAAAGTACATTAACGTTGTACCAGAATAACATACCTGGAGGTTCTATATGAGTTGTGATACAAACTTTCTCGCTCTCAACACTGCAACAATTACGTGTTCATAATCAGTGGTCAAATATATATTTTTTAAAAGGTGAGGTAAATAATTGAATTAGAAGAAGGACGCTAGGAAAAGAAATGAGATATAACTGAGACTGGAAGATGGTTGACGTATGTACATGTTAAGATCAACATTTTGGCGTCTGTTTCCAAGGATGCCACATGGTCTTTATAGTTAAACATTTATTTTAATTAAATCATCACCAGGACTTAAAACACATTCCTTTCATTTAATACAAATGAAACTTTCGATTCAAGGAATAAAAGATCCTGTTACACAATTTTTTATGGTTTTAAATCATAAATATGATGCTCCAATTAAGATTTATCAATATTGTAGGTTCCAAAAAGCATTATTTATAAATATATTACCGAATTTAACATTTCGTGTTAAGGGAGGTAATAACATTTTTATTTTCAATAAAGTTTAAGTCAAATTTTACGATAAGAAATGAATGCATATATTTTAATGATAAGACATAATATGTACAAATATTTGCCGTACATATTTTACATATTCTTCGATGTTTGAAAATTGTTTTATTTGCATAAGTATGTACATATATATCATTTCATTGGTTTACTACTAGATCACAACACACAGGATCTTTAAATAAATTACTATTACCTGATATTTGGAAAATAACATACAGGCAAATTAGCATATTCTTAGTTTTACACAGTCATAAGATATACATGTATTTGTACAATTAGCCATCATTAATACAACATTAACGCAAAAATGAAAATGTCAAAATATAAAGTATTTCATGGTAAAGAATTTTATTATTGGCGTGTAAACTAGAATTATATAAACTCATTATGCTCAGACTTTAAGCCTTCTCTTACCCATTTATATCCTTTGCTTTGAAGCAGATATTTTCTTTTCCATGCATTGAATGTTCAAAGGACAGGTCAGCTTTATACACCTGATCACCTTTGTGTGTTATATATTGTACTGAACTGACATCAAACTTGTCAATGAAACTGTCAGTGACATATATCTCGGAAAGATTTCTGTAATAATAGATAAATCAAGAAGCATTTCTAGACCGACAAATCCTTCGTCAAATGGTAGAAAAGTTAAAAAGACAACAGTTCACACACTACCATTATATACCATCATGGGCAATGACACAAAGAGTAAGAATAAAAAGTTTTCTGAGACAAGGAAACTTTTTTCCGTAAGTGGTATAAATTCATAGTCAGAGGTTTCACCAATGTTGTTGTCAAAGATTGAAGTTATACTTTAATGGCAGCTGTGGCGTTCCATAGTTTAATTTAAGCGGTTTTTATTCGGTTGCGTTTAGTTTTTCATCGTATAAGTTTAACTTCCGGTATTGAATCAGTGAAACTCGACAATTTCCGTCACTGATGTACATTGTCGAGCTCACCCGTGCAATATCGTGACCACTGGTCACTCGTTCTTTGTCGTACTTGTCCAATTGTTTTGTTTGTTGTATATGTTTCTATGTGAGAGAGATATCCACTGGTTCTTTTAAATATTTTTTACTTATGCGCACTGTTTGCTTTTCCTGTCCCGCTCACTCTTTACAGTCATCTCTTACGAGTCAGACATATAGTAGAACTAGTTAATTTAACATAAGATCTACATTTACTTTAATTATTTCAATTAATATTGAAATGTTTTAATTTATATAAGAAAATATCTTGATACAGACGCTGTGATAAGAAATAATATTAATACTAAGATATTGATTGTATTTCTTATCTATGTATTTTTGTAATTTCTTATTCCGAGTCGATTGTGTATATATTGTTATATCATTGTATTTGTTTTTATATGTATTGTTTTTGTATGATGTATAATTATTTGATTATATTTTTAGACCATTTTTACTTGGATTCTAATACATACATCGAACCTACGCCCGGAGTTTGTTTCTATCCAGTGTAGAAATATTTTACCCTGCGACACAGGTGGTCAGTGTGGTTTTTCGATCGTCACAGCGACTGGACGATCTACGGAGGTAGGCTAAGACGAGGTCCGTATCTTTTTGGAGAGTCTCTTGTCCTTACAGAGCTAGGAACGAGGTTCCCAGAGGGTAACGAGGAGAGGATTCGAATCCCGACGATATCAATGATCGCCGACGTATATAAGTATTGTTTTACCACTTATATTCATTTTTGGATGCTTTGGATGGATTTGAAAGGATTTAGGAATGTATAAAGTATTAAGTGTTATTTAAATCTGATGCATCAGTGTTTTTAAAGCTAGCTAGCAAATTAATTTGGAGGATTTACGCGCGCAAGGAGGAATTTTATTATCTTGACGGATAACGCGTTCCATAGTTAAAATCATTATTACGACGTGTAGAAATTACGAGGAGCCGGGATGACTCACGACCATAAAATGAGGAAAGGACAGTGAGCAGAACTTTTTATTCTGAATTCTGTAAATATTTGGTTTTGTAAATAATTGGATTTTTATATCATTGTGTATAGTGTGAATATTGAGGTATGTGTTTTATTTGTGTTGACAAGTAAAACGTAAATTTTTCAAATATTTTCGCGAGGTATTTTTTCAGTAATTACTTGATCAGAGATATTTTGACCATTTAGCAACCTTTTGTAGTAAATATTATTGAGATAAATAGGTAACGTTTTTGTACTTTTCAGAATCCTTTTGATGCTTCTGCATTACAGATGCCATAAGTTGATGTAAAATTAGCATTCTTTAAGGTGAAGTGCCTCCTTTGAAAGGTGATGTTACGTATGATGTTTGGCGATATGAGACTAAATGTCTCTTATCAGATTCTTCAACATCAGAAAATTTTAGTTTACAGATTATTCGTAAATCATTACGAGGTTCAGCCAGATAGGTCCTTATACCATTTGGAGAAAAGGCAACTTTAACTGATATTTTAAATAAACTTGATACTTTATTTGGGAATGTTTCTACAAATGAATCTGTCATGCAATCTTTTAACAGTGAATCACAGAAGCTCTCTGAGAATGTGACTTCATATGGTTGAAGATTAGAAACATTATTGCAGGTTGCAATTAGGTTATGTCAGCCACTCATCTAGAAATGATATGTTATGATCTAAATTTTGGACAGGTCTTCATGATGAAAAGCTGAAATTATTTACTAATCATATGTATACCTCAATTTCAGATTATAATATGTTACTGCGAGAAGTCAGAGCTGCAGAACAGGAACTTTCGTTTTCAGATAAATTAACGAAAGTTCAATGTCAATCTATTTCAGATTCTAGGGATAAAATGGTTGAAGATCTTTCGAAGAAGATGGACACTTTGATGACAAAAATGCAGTCTCTTGAAAAAGATATTAAAGACAGCAAGAAACAAGATTCCTTTGTTAATGACAGATCTCTTTCTGGTCATAATAGAGGTAATTATTCAAGAAACAATACAAATTCTTTCACAGGTTACAACAGAACAAAATGTATATGTTAAAACAAATAATTCTGACAATTCGTCTTCTTACAGGTCTGACAACACTAAAACTATTGACCCAAACGTTTAGACTCATCTGTGGTGGGGCACAAGAGCTCCAAATCTATTTTATTAGATAGATTGGTTGGTGAGGCTAATGATAGCACAGCAAAAATTTGCGGTGTAGACACCAAAGATTTTGTTGATACAGGTTCAATGGTTACTTTGATTTCAGAGTCTTTTAACAACAGTTTAGAACAAAAACCGGAATTATTAAGTATTTCTGATTTTAAATAAGATATTGTAGGTGCCAGTTTGGTTTAAACATATTTATTTAAGCTCGATTGCGAAACAAGTTCTTGCAACTTATATTAATCACTTTCGAGTCCGCTTCCTGGAACCAACCAGTACTTGTGTCATATGGAGAAGCATGGTCGTAACCCGAATAGAGCTCGAACCCATGATCTCTTGGTTGAGAGGCAGACACCTTAACCACTAGACCACCGCTCCCCTTGTGCCAGTGGAAGTAAGAATTCATACAAAGGTTATATTGAGGGTGATGTTTTTTATTTCTGATATTTTAGAAAATTGTGTTTTTGTTCCTGATACAGAGTACCGACAGTCAGTACCTGGTTTTATTTGTACCAATGTTTTACGTTTATGTAGTGTTGGTGAAAATGTTTCTTCAACAGATCCTTTTAAAATAGCTGTGTATGCTATGAAATGTGTCAATTTTATTTCAGTGAAGTCTTCTAGCAAAACACCAATCGTTGTTCAGCCTTTTCAGGTTACCACTATTTCAGGTTTAGTGAGGAATAAAGATGGTGTTTGTACTGCTTTAAGTGAAGCAATTGAGAACTTCAACTTTCAGGTTTAAATATTTGTCCAAGAATTGTTTCCCTTGAAAATGCTGAAACTACCTCTCGGATACCTGTAAGAGTTTGTTATATGACAGTCAAGGTTATTAAAATCAAACCTAATTCTGTATTTTGTTCACTTTCATAAGTTAAGGTAATGGATTCATTAAAACCTGAAGTATCAGATCCAAAGCCTGAAACCAATGTTCCTCATAATGTTAAAACTATATGAACTTTTATTGGATTTTCAGGGTTTTACAGACGTTTTGTTCCTGATTAAGCAAAAATAGTTAAACCTTTAAATGATCTTCTTGTAGGACATCTAACTAACAAGGCTTCTCAGAAGAGTAAGAAGGCCAAAACTCCACGGATATGGGGAGATGCTCAACAAACAGCTTTTGATAGTATTATTGATAAACTATTCAAACCCCCTGTTTTAGCATATGCTGATTTTACCAAACCTTTTATTGTTAATTGTGATGCCTCGACAGAAGGTCCTGGCGCAGTTCTCTATCAGGAACAAGATGGACTAGAGCGTGTCATTTGTTATGCCAGCAGAGGTTTACTTGCTAGCGAAAGAAATTATCCAGCACATAAGTTAGAGATTTTATGTCTTAAGTGGACCATAACTGACAAATTCCATTATTATTTGTATGGAAATTCTTTTTTAGTCAGGACAGACAACAACCCTTTAACATATGTAACCACCTCGGCCAAGCTGGATGCTGTAGGTCATCGCTGGTTAGCAGCTTTAAGTAACTATGATTTTAAAATCGTTAACAGGTGTGGAAAATCAAATGCTGTTGCTGATGGCTTAAACAGACTATATAGAAATCCTGCAATGGAAACTGTTTTAATTTCAGATGTTATTAAGACAATGTTTAATTCCGCTTTAGTGAAATCTGATGTACTTCCTTTAGCAGAAAGTGTTGTTATTTCAGGTGAAAGTGACCTTGAACTTTACGCTGAACTTATAAATTTTACAGATTTTTCAAGTGTTGATTTTTCACAGGAACAGCAAAAAGATCCTGATATTACTAGATTTTATCATATTTTAAACAATAATGTTATTTTAAACCAACAGGGAATTATAAAACAAGAGTCCAAGGCAGTACAATTTATATAAGACATAAGTCTTCTCTTTTTATACAGGAGAAAGTTTTTTTTAGAAAGACAGAAATAGATGATACTGAAATTTTTCAATTAGTGTTACCAGTTCATTTTAGAAGTATTGCCTTGACAGGTATACATGATGAGGTTGGTCATCAAGGGTTTGATAGGATCCTATGACTTTTTAAGTAGAGGTTTTTTTTTTGGCATTATATGGAACAAGATGTCCTTGAAAGGATTCGAACCTGTCCGAATTGAATCAGGAGAAAGGCGCTAACTAAACCTTCTGCCCATATGGTTCCTTTACAGAGTTCTTATCCTATGGAGATTGTCTGTATTGATTATCTATCATTAGAGAAATCTAGTGGTGAATATGAAAATATCCTAGTTATTACTGACCATTTCACTAGGTACGCCCAAGCCATACCGACAAGAAACCAAACAGACCACACAACAGTCAGAGGTTTGTTCGAGAACTTCTTCTGTCACTACTCATTCCCTGGAAGACTACGCAGTGATCAGGGCCGTAGCTTTGAGAGTAAGGTTATACAGGAGCTGTGTAGGATTGCAGGGGTGGAGAAGTCTCGAACAACACCCTACCACGCTATGGGTAATGAAATAACCGAGCGT